ATAACGCTGATACTAATTAAAGAAAATCCCAATAAGGAAGACATTAGGATTGTTGAGAAGAGGAAGAAGGCTACGAGAGTGCTTATATTTAAGGTTTGAGTTGAATTATGATGGCACTAGAAAAGCTAAAAGTAGTAAGGTGTGTGCTGAGTCTGAATGAAAATCTCAAGTTGCAACAAGAGAAGAAGAAAGAGGGTTCAAATTCTTTTGTTCTGAAAGAAACAGAAAGAGTTTGTGGGGTGTTATAATTAAACATTGAATTGGTTGTGTTAAGAACTAAGGGCGTGCTCATCATTGGTGCAATATCACAATCTACCCTGCTTAAATTCTTGATGTCTGCAATCAAACACTAAGGGTCCATTTGGAAGAGTGACTTCGAATAGAAGGAAATAGCTAATACCATATGGTTAACATACTTGGCTGGACTACTAACAGCACATAAAAATTTATAAACGTATTAGGAAAGAAAAAAAATTTAAGAACGCATGGATTTCAAATGATGCATTGTATAGTTATTCTAAATCCATTCCATATACATTATATCTAGCTGTTTAAACACATTGTGTCTGGTGTTTTTCTAACTAATCTAGCTTTTTTGTCAAATTCAAATGCTTTCTATTATATCATTTCATCCAAATGATTCCAAATGTTCAGGGGTGAAAATTTTCAAAACAACATCATAGCACAACTCAAATCCAAAACTAACGTAGCAAGTTTGGAAACTTGACACAAATTCATGAAGAGCACAACCTTCTGACATAAATAATAAGCATTTTAGGCAAACACAAATAACCAAATTTTAACATGACAAACTAATTTAAATAGATTTTATGAAAAAAAAAATCCTTTCTTTTTTTGGCTTCTTCATATGTTATTGTTTGAATCCTTTTCTTAGTTTTTTAGCACTCAATGATTTGGATTTTTATTGCGCGAGGGGTGTATGAGTGGTATATTTGATTTGGAAATGCGGGATTCTAGTCTTAAGTTTCTAGTTCATGTGTGATACAAACAAGACATGATTAATGAATAAATCGGGTTAGTCTGAAGTCATCTAACAAATTAAACAAGTCGGTTAGGATTTACTAGTATCTAATAGAACTATAGTGCTTAAGTGCTTGTTGGTGTTTGAGGATTAGGTTGAAACTTCATTATTACAAATAATAGAGATGTACTCAGAAAATTAAAACACCAGTCGTTTGAACCAATATTAACAAAGCATGCTGCAGATTGAAATACTTGGTTCGAATATTAAAAAACAAAATAAATAAATAAAGTAAAGGTGCTGATAAGAATTCCACCTGCTAGATAGAATTACCAAAACACATCCTAAAGGTTGTAGTACAACCACAAGCACTCTACAACCCAAAAAACAGAACAAAAACCTAAAAACTCAACAAACTGCAGCTTCCCAATTTTTCGATTAACAAAAATATATAAGAACCTGAAAAACCTACACCTCTGTTAACAAAAATATGCCAATTCTACAGTTCCACATTACAGCTTTCATAATTGTCATTGTAGTTTCGCTATTGTGTAACTAGCACAGCGTGCCTAATTGAATTCGGGACAGTGTGATCTATAGCTTTCAAGACGAGATTCCACTACTACCTTTTTTGGGTTACACATACAGTATAACTTGTAACTTTCCTTATACCTTCTTCACTCTCATATTTCCTAGTTACAGTATAGAAACCATAAAGAACCACATTTTTTATTAGAACTCTAAATAACCCCCAGAGCTCAATGTCGCCTCTATAATTCCACTTAGTGCTACATATCCAAGTTGCAACATCATTTCAAAAAATGTTACTTCTCAGGTCTTCAGTTCATTATATAGAATCCTAGTTCAGCCCGATTCTTGTTTCTTCACCTTGCTTTCACTCCACCAAGGAACTCTTCCTGCATCATGTAAACTCACTTTATCCCCTACTGTTCATGACCATGTGCTATATACTCATACTGAAGAAAAAAAACAGTGATTCCTAGATTAATTCAAATTGTCAATCCTAACACAAACTGACATTCCGTATGTTCATCAAACAACCACCTCCAGAACTGTTCATCCTTGGACTCTCTCCATTTTTTTTCAATTGTCTTACATAAATATAAGTAATTACCTTTATGGCATTAGAAAATTCAAATTTGGAAAAATTTTCAGGATTCATAATTTACTGATAACTATTTTATATGTCCGTCTCTCATTTGCGAGATTGTCACAAAAATTCAAGAAATATAACATATTTGACTACCGAGTCATCAAATTCATCAACAAGAACACAGAAATTCACCTAAGAAGTGTATATTTCTAAAACAGAATAATCCATCCAAACATCAAGAACAAGACCAATTCATGTCTTCTCACTACAAAAACCAAACAACAACTTTCATCATTTCACAATCAAACCAACAAATATAAATCCGATTGTTTAATATGGGAAGAAAAAAAAGATCAAGAAGAAGAAGAAACGGCATACCTCCTCGTCGTTCCAATCAAACATCTCTGAAGAAGCCACAATTAACCACAAAACCGAAACCGAAACCGCAATCAGAGACACGCACAGAGTTTCGTCCACACATCGCCAGAAGCTTCACAAAGTAAACATCAACCAAACTTCCAACATGCAGAGCCTTCCCTCCGAAGAGTGAGAGAGAGAGAGAGAGCTTTACAGAGTGAGGCAGAGAAGAGTTGGGCTTCTGGAAGGGAAAGGGGTGGGGCCCGAGTCACGTGACGTTACTGGGGGAAATTGGTGAAATTTGGCGACACGAGTGATGGGGAGAGAGTATCTAAATTCGTGGTGGAGAGAGGATCGATCTAATGCTGCGACGTGATTGGCTGGATTTGCATTTCGGATGAATTCCGTTTTCCATTTGGGTTGCGTTCCGGTTTTATTTTATTATTTATTTTGGTTGTTGTGGGCCCCACTGGATCTGGTTCGTGGACGACGTTGCGTTGGAGGTCGCTGTCGACGAGGGTTGGGCTGGGTTGAACCTAAGCCACCACTTTTGTCCGCGGCTTGCTTTCTGGATTTGGGTGGGTGGGTCTTTGCGGATTGTGATCAATTGGGTAATTGCGTGTGATCCAAAATTATGTAAATTTCTACTTTTAGAAACACTCATTCACGACTCTTTGTCATCAAACATTATAAAATAATATATTTGGAAGTTTAAAAGGAAAATGTTTTTCTCCTTCCTCCGAATGCGGGAACCCATAATATATGTTTGTAGTTTTCATTATAAAATAATATATTTGGAAGTTTAAAAGGAAAATATTTTTCTCCTTCCTCCGAATGTGGGAGCCCATGATATATATTTGTAGTTTTTATAAATTATTTTTTCATGTGTTAAATTATGATTTGTAGAAACGAGAAATATCTTCTTCTTGGAAAAGAGGGAAGTAGAGTCTTTTTGTTTTTTTTGTTTAATACAAGCGATTGGGGGAGGGGGGTTTACAAAAATATTTATTGGGTGCTTGGGGGTTTTGAACCTCTGCCCACATGGTGGAGGTGGAAGAGCTCAACCAACTAAGCTATACCACACTGACTCTAATTTAAATTTAATAAATTTGGCTTTACCCCTTCAAACTCATTTTTTCTTACCTACAACTCATCATGTTATTTTTCTTTGAATAAAACATAATTTGTATAAATTAAAACCCGATGACTAGGATCCAATTTAGCAAATTGGATTCGAATCCTCTGCGTGGATTTTCTCTGCTAAAATTTGCTTAACTTTTCCTCTCTACATGACACCTCATTTTTTAATTCAATCTAAGGATTTGAGAGAGTTGGACACGTCACGCTTAAAGAAAAAAAAAACCAACAATTTTCTTCATGATTGAAAAAATTAAAAAAAGAAGAAGTAAAAGACTAATACCCTAATGAAAGTAACGTTTCCTAACTATTTGCAGCCTCTCTACTTCCTTTCTTTAATGTTGTTTCTTGTTCGATTCTATTCAATGTCTCTATAGACTTCTTTCGATTATATATATCTTTCTCATATTGAACTAACAGGCTATACAACTATATTAGGATTTATTATATGAGTGAATGATGTTATTTTATGTTTTGTCCATAATCGAACTTAAAATTATGAGATTTAGGTTTACAATTCGTGTTTATGATATAAGGTTTGTGATTTTAAACTACTAAACTAGTTGCCGAATTGGATTTTTGAGAATTGGCAAACTTGATTTTCATATGCAAGGACTTGAGAGAGTTGGACACGTCACGCTTAAAGAAAAAGAAAACAAGTTTCTTCGTGATTGAAAATTTTTTAAAAAAGAAGTAAAAGACTAATACCCTAATGAAAGTAACGTTTCCTAACTATTTGCAGCCTCTCTACTTCCTTTCTTTAATGTTTGTTTCTTGTTCGATTCTATTCAATGTCTCTATAGACTTCTTTCGATTATATATATCTTTCTCATATTGAACTAACAGGCTATACAACTATATTAGGATTTATTATATGAGTGAATGATGTTATTTTATGTTTTGTCCATAATCGAACTTAAAATTATGAGATTTAGGTTTACAATTCGTGTTTATGATATAAGGTTTGTGATTTTAAACTACTAAACTAGTTGCCGAATTGGATTTTTGAGAATTGGCAAACTTGATTTTCATATGCAAGGACTTGAGAGAGTTGGACACGTCACGCTTAAAGAAAAAGAAAACAAGTTTCTTCGTGATTGAAAAAATTAAAAAAAAGAAGTAAAAGACTAATACCTAAAGTAACCTTTCCTAACTATTTGCAGCCTCTATTTATTTTTATTTTTTTGTCAATACTAGAATTCATTGCAAGCCACAAAAAGACAAACAAAGCTAAGGGATACAAGTAGAGAAGTTCAAGCAAACATGCTGAACGACAAAATAAAAGCATGCAAACAAAGCTTGAGGGGAGGAACAGAGACGATGCTGCAAATAGCAACAACGTCAGGGGCCTCGAAGCTTCCAAAATTAGTTACTTCCTGGAGGCAAGGGAGCCCATTAGCAAGCATAGCCAAGTGATCAGCCGCCTAGTTGGTTGTTCTAGGAACCCAAGACCACGAGCAAGACGGGAAATTGGCCCGAGTGTCATGAATATTACTTAGGACAGGGTAGAAATAGAGCCATTGATGCTTGTAATGACTTCTCTACAATCAGCTTCACAAATAACATTTTGGAACTCGTTTTCAATAGCAAATATGCAACTCTAAACCCTATTTGCAACCTCTCTACTTCCTTTGTTTAATGTTGTGGGGGGCTTTTTCGTTCAACAGCAAATATGCAACTCTAAACCCTATTTGCAACCTCTCTACTTCCTTTGTTTAATGTTGTGGGGGGCTTTTTCGTTCCGGCAACTACAAATGAGATGGGCTGCCGTAAGGAGCAAATAGGTTAAATTACTCCATGTGTCTGAGTTTAAGAATCAGACCCCAAGAATGCTTCGAAAGGTTAGTGGAGCCTTAGGAAACACACTGGTTATCTTCACCAACAAAAACAACAGTCGCTTACAAGTAAATTCTTAGCTTGGCATGAGAAGCTTGTGGCATGGGAGCAAAGCAATCATGAGTTTAGCATTAAAGAGAGAGAGGGCTGTGA